TCTAAAAGTTTAAAATGTGAAAATAGTGCATAGTCCTTCATCTTCAAATCATATTATTTATCAAAAATGATTCAATTTGAAAACTTCAGTTTTAAAGACGCAATGGCTTTCTAATTTTGCCTTTAGTAAGTACTGGGGTGATAAAAGAGAGCTAATAGGTAAGACGCCGAGACGTCGTTTGCCGCCAAAATGAATATCGCATCGGAGGCTTTGGTTGTGTTGGAATAACAGTTGTGTCTGTGACTATCTGTGTTGAGCGTTCGAGTCGTAGATGTCTCTGTGTAGTGCTGGGTGTACGGTTGGAGTGGTTGTGTTGTGATCGGTTGCGAGAACACGAAAATCATAAATCCGCGACTTTCTGATTGTAAAAAGATTATTTTCGTATGAATATATGGGTGCACTTGATTATTTTTAATTCTGAAAGACGAAAAAAATATTGTTATTTGTGTAAATATAAAAAGTTTAAAATTTCTTTTCGGGTTCACTTTCGATTGATATAATTCTCTAGAGGCTTGTAAGATGTCGGTGTGCGCCAAGGTTAAGTTTAGTAATATTCCGGTGGGGTCCCTAGAACGAATACAGCGCTGTCATAGGAGTGCGGCAAATTCAATTGATTTTGATGTTTTTCAAAATATCAAAATGCCTAGCAGAATTACTAGGAGTAGTAGTGTACGAATATATTATTTTCTCTTTTTATTTGAAATAGAAAAACATTATTTGTTTTTTTATACTGAAAATGATAACAGATGTATCATAAATGAGATTTTGTTTGAAAGTGAAATATATCAAATTATTACTAGTGTGAGATAAAAATAGCAGAATTTAAAAAAGTGTAAGAAAATTATCTTTTCTGAGATATTAATTAATCAATGTAATATGTTTTGTGTGCAGCTTAAGTTACGATTGGAGCGTATGGATAGGAGAGTGAGCTTGCAAAAGTTGCGATCTGATAATGCAGATAGTCTTGATCACAGTGGGCCGTGTTCACCGCCATCTCTTAATACATCTATTAATAGTCTTCCTTCGACAAGTGAGCATCACAAAAACCCACCAATAGAAACTCACAGTCAACAGTACAGTGAAAGTTTTAAGATAAGGTTGAACACAAGTGGAGGTATTACTACTGTGAAGCAAGAACCACTTGACAAATATGAATGCAAACCAGAACCAATAGAAGATTCATGGGAAAATAAGAAAAAACGTAAGTCTGATTCTCATACAAACAATGGTACCAAGCGTAAAAGAGGAGTGTCTAGTTCTTCAACTGTAAGCAATGATACTTCCTCAACACTACCAGAAACTCTTGTAAGAATTTTTCTATCTGATATTTATCAAAATTTCTTAGTTGATTTATATGGACTTATTAATGCTCTATTTCTAGGGAGGCAAAGGTCCTAGTTTTGAGAGTTTGAGAAAGGTAGAAAAGAAAAGTAAATCTTTTCTAAAAAAGGATAGTTTTTTAGTGACCGAGGAACATTATTACACAGCCGTTGGTGAACCAAATTACATGTTGTGTCTCAGTGATAGATCATCAGAAGAAACTAGTAATAGTAACTTGGAAGTTCCTAACTGGAGAGTAAAAGTCTACACGAGCTGTTACACTATGGAAGGAACAGAAAATTTAGATGATGAAATTTTTAACAAGAGGCATTTAAAACTTGAAAATGACGAGAGACGGCGTAAACGATGGGATGTTCAAAGGATAAGGTAGGGATTCATATTATTGACTTCATAATAAAATTTGGACTTTATTTTAAAATTAAATATTTATTACATAGAGAGCAAAGACACATTGAAAAGTTGAAGCAAAGACAAGAGAGGCAAAGTCACCATCCAACATGTATGAATGTAAATCATACTGGGCCTTGTTTGGCTACAGCCGAGGAAGAAAACGTCATAACATTATGGCCAGAACTTGATCAAATACAAAGTATTCAAGTCGATCCTCAATTACCTGTATCTTCATTTGGCTCTTCGGTTGCTTATTTTCCATTAAGGTATTTTATTATTATTTAAATGACATTGTTTACATTTTAATTGTTAACTATAATGAAATTTTACAGTGATTTTATTTTGCCTTGGTTTCCAAATATGAAGTCTAAAACTAGGCATCCCAAACGATTGAACAATAAAAGAAAAAAGTCGTCAAGAAGATAAAAAAAGCTTTTAAATATGTGCTACAGTGATTTTTATCCTGGAGAAAAAACATTTTTAATCGCAGTATGTAGTTAGTGCAACTTTGACTATTTTTTTGTGTATCTTAAGTGCATTACTTCAGCTGCGTACGGTGGCGCACCAAAGATGTTTTTTTTTCTTTTAATACTCATTCATTTTTTAATGTTTTTTCTGAGAAAATGCACATACGAGACAGCTGATTATTTTATTTTTCTGTTATGAAATAGCCGATTAGCGGCAGATTAATTCAAGATTAGGCTGAGTTTTTTTTATTTTGTATCTGTAAAAAATTTTGTTATTTTATTTGAGTATTTCATATTCCATTATACATAATTTGTAAGATTTATAAATACTTATATAACATTGAATGAATTATATAAAATTGAGTGATTCATAAAACGTCTTTTCGTTTATAAAGTAAAACAGAAAAATTTGTATAAAATGTAGAAATGTCAAAGTGTATCATGTAGTGTCCCGTTGACGGATCTTTGTAAATTTTCTCTATATAAGAAAAAGTAAGAGCGAGAGTGAAAATGAGAGATAAAGCCATTTATCATCATAAACTTCAAATTCTAGAAAAAAATATAAAATTGGCCTACATTAAATCAGCACGTAAATTTACGAGTGCACAATATCAACAACCTCAATTTCCATAGTTTTCATTTATAGTCATAAATACATTCTTTAAATCATCACATTTTTGTACAGATGCGATTTTACATCATTTTTTTTATTTTTTCTATAATCATGTGCCTAGGAATGACGTATTTCATAAATATTGTCTTTATCAATTTTCTACATCACACTTCATTTACATTACACTTCATTTACATTACACTTCATTTACGAGAGTCAATATTGTGCAAGCCTTTATTTATTTTAAACATTGAAATGAAATAAAAACAAAAAAATATTCTCTATATGATTATGCGTACAATTGATGTATGGCTCTACTCTATAGACAAGGTCTTTAAAAAATAGAATTCTAAAGAGAAACAAATAAAGAAGTATAGGGCTTTTGCGCTCTGATCGAGAGTGAAATACAAGATAGTATATAATAATTTCTCATTCTGTTCGACAGGATGCTGTGATGTTACTGTCAGATTGAGTGTTGTGAACATATTATTTTTTACACGAGTGATTTATCGTTTAGCAGTGATTCGTTTATTTATAAGGGAATAATCAGTGTAAAATATCGTATAAAGCATAAAGCAAGAAAATCGTCATGAAAATAATTATGTCGTATAGCCGATAGTTCATTTTGTAGAAACACATGACATTCTCATTTCGCCGTTTCTTCTGATTGTAAGTCCATAATAATGTGTGTATGTATACAAAACCTCAAATAAGTGGTGTAATTACTATGTAATTGACCGTCCGGCGGAGCGACGAATTGAAAAATGAAAAGCTTTTTCGATGAGCAAGGCCTTGTGTACGATAATTGTATAATTTTCGGTATATAGGAATTAATCATGTTTATAAGAGCGAGAATTCATTATTTATTATTTCGTCGCCCCATCTATTCGAGATAGATCTGGCGAAGTGCCCTTATCAAGCGAGACATTGTGTATTTGAAAAGAAATCCCCAATAGATTCATGTGTGTCTCCCGTATATAAAAGTGTATGTAAACGCGAGACGTCTTTTCCATTCTTTTCGGCAAAGACACTTTTTACTTTAGTTTCAGATCTGCCTTAACAACTATACTATGTATATATTGCTAATTATATTACAGAAAAATAAATATGTTATGCGACGATAATAATGAGGATTTTCTTTATTCACAACATCCATTGCCAAATCTCATGCTTATGCAGTATTCATTTATAAATTACAAAATATAAAGAAGTTTGCTTTAAATTTTAACAAGAAAATTACAGTTACGTCAAAACGCTCATCAGTGACGGAAACTACTGCTGGCTTTTCTACATAATTGGTACCCTATTTAGTGGTTTCATCATAAACGTATAATAAATAGTTAGCTGTAATATTATATGGAGATGTATGTAGTATTTTCGCAATACTATCTATGGAAAAGAACTTGAGAAAGTGTATTTTTAATATTTTATTGACTTCAGTTACTGTGATATGAAAAGTGTACATCTTACTTCACATTGTATATTCAACTTTTAATTTCATAATTTAAATTATGTGTCTGACCGATTGCATAAATCCATACGACTTGCGGAAATATACCTTGATATTTAGTATAGTGGTGTATTTGGTACAAAATTTTCAGCAAATTCATTCAACATAACTTATGACATACCAACATTCATGTTATTCTAGATTTTATTAAATGTAAATTGTACGTTTAATTTTTTTACGTATTGTATATTTTTTGTTGTACTGTATTGTAACGGGGGGGATAAACCTGCAAAAATGGGAAATTTATATAAAAGCAAACTCCCACGATGCAGAGCAAACCGCCGCTCCGTTAACACGTATGTTAGTACGTGTATTCGCCTTAACGTCAGCTGATTTAACTTGGTTGTCTTCGATCAAGCAGAGTTGAACTCACCTTAAGTCACGTGCTTTGTGACACACGATGAATTTGAAGTGTGAGCGACTTTACTCCTTCTCCGCTTAATCCCCTAGCCTTAATAGGATTAACACCTAAGCCTATTTCAATTTCTTAAACTATTAGGAAAATCATATGACGAAATTGGCGAATAAGTTTGACAAAGTTTATTCATAAAAAAATCTATACGGTCTTTGTCGGGCCGAAAGACTGACGCACGCGAATAGGATTTACAATTAAATAATTTTCCGGTGAGAAAGAGAGAGAGAGAAGATACGAAAATTGGCGCGATCTAACGCTCGGCGCGAATACAAAATTATCAACGCTAATGCGGCTAAACAAAATAATAAATCAATTTTGACACGCGATAATGAAGGGAGGTGCACCTACCCTGCGGTGCAATTACGGTGATCAGCCGTAATTGTTGATGTCAGTAAAATATATCAACTGCCTCCGGAACTGTTATATCAGCTGCGCTGTCTCGTGCCGCCTATCAGCTGCAAATATGCTGCTCCCGTGATGCTGTAATCTGCCGATCACGTTGTTGCACTCGCGCGTGTAATTACTCCTGGTAAAACTATCACTCGGCGAGAAAACAGTGCAAACAAAATTCGGCGATATCCACACGTATCAACAGCTGAGACGTAACTGCTAATTTTAAAGATCGCGCGCCCCCTCTCTCTCTCAATTCTTAGAACTAACGCGCGAAATTCAGAATCGCGAACGGTTCGATTAATTGAATCGACTACCGTTGCAGCCCCCTCCAAGTCCTGACTACCCGGGCAGGACGAATACCCGCGATTCACTGCCATCAGGAACCTGAAAGTAATAAAGAAGGAAAGGAAACAAAATAAACACTCCCTTCTTTATTTCGGCTAATTTATTTGCCCTCCAGGGCCTACATCATTGTTTGGCTACACCTGGCGCGCGATGTTTCGGGTAGCGCCAGTGTGTAGCCTTCTTCGGGCACCGCTGGGAGTTGGTCACCCCAGGCTCTCCACAGATGTAGCAGCCCCTCAGCTGCGACCGAGATTGAGCAGCCTCCCGTCCTCGTGATGGCTGCTCAGCAGCCAGAGGGGACTGCTGGGCACTGACTCCCTGTGAGGCGACGATAGTCACGCCTCCCACCGTGGCGGTCGCACGTCCATCCTGCGACCTAACCACGATGGTGGTATCAGGAGCCATGCGCCCGTCCACATGGACCGTGAGCGTTGGTCCAGCGTCAGTAGCTCCCGGGGCTCTCTTCTCTTGAGCCGGCGCCGGGAGCGCTGCGGAGGACTCTTGTCCGTTATCCACCCGCAGCAGGGCCTCTCCATAGGCCCTCTGACGCTGAGCCATCCCTGCCCACTCCCCGAGCAGCTCTTCTGCGCCCTGGCGGCTCAAAAAGCGTCTCAGGTGCTCCTGCACCTGAGACTGGAGTTCTTGAGCGAACCGCCAGGCACTCCCCACCTCGTTGATCCCCAGACGCACGTGTCTGAAGTCGAGGAGGAGAGTAGGCTGCTCAGGGATCCGGGGATGATTGCAGACCCAGTGCGAGGCCCCACAGGTTTCCCTGGGTCCTGGGCATTGGCTCGCACTGTCCGACGTAAGGGTTACGCCGGACTTGAGGGTCTGCACCCCCTGGTCCACTGTAGACTTGGGACGTTCGACACTGTCCTGGTCCTCGGTCTGTGTCGAAGCGTCCCGAGAAGCCTTCTTCGGGGCGACCCACGACGAATCCCGGAGAACCTCTGCCACCGAGGCATTGCGCCGATCCCTTCGGGTGGTCCCTTCCAACTGGACCCTGGCGAAGCTCCGCAGATCTTCAATTAGCTGCGTCGCATCAGAGCCCAGTTGCAGATCCAACAACATCTGCGTGACCACCTCGAAGGTCTCCTCTTCGACGACGATTCTCCGGTCCATCTGAAACATCCAAAAAAACAACAAATTTCGGATGAATCTCCCTGCGCGAAGAAACAATCTTAATAACAGCCGCATCCCACCGAGTTATACGCTCCCTCGCGATTCCTTATGGGAACGTCCTGGTCCTCGTCGGTTACCGTTCGGTTTTATCGGCCCAACCGTCCTTTGTACGACGGGCACGGTCCTTCGAGGCCTACCTCTCCCTCTATTCACCTTCACGGGAGAGTTATTGCCCCTCGCTGGACCGGTGACCGTCTCTGGAACCTTTCGAGGTCGACCTCGACCTCTCTTAGTTGGGGCAGATACCGGTAACTCCGACGTCTCGGTGGGAACTTTACCTACGACCGTGGGGGCTGCTAATTGGACCCGCTCGCTATCTGATAAATCCCCTCCCGGATTTTCGCGCGCTTTCGCGGAATCGTTCGCATCCTCCGACGGCAGTTCATTTGGCGGCTCGCGAGGTTCGATGACCTCCTCGCTTTCCTCATCCTCACCCGGACCGTAATATGGTTTAAGGTCTTTGGCATGGAAGAGCTCAGGCAGGATCTCCAGCTGATTGCCTAGCCTGTACGTGTTGGAACCACTAACCTCTTCAATCACGTACGGGCCGGCATATTTCGGCGCTAATTTAGCTGAAATACCTTGAGCAGCTGAAGATAGAATCCTGTTCCTCTTCCAAACCCAATCTCCGACCTTAAACTCGGGTTGTCGTCTCTTCCGGTCATAATAAGCCGCCTGACGCGCAGCTTCCTCCCTTGACTTGGAGTTAGCTCTCTCCCACAAATTAGGAAGCTTCTCCATATGTTCAGCCCAATCTTCCACAGCCTGACCCTCCGAACATTCAAGGGCCTGCTGATCTTGGGTTCTTCTGAACGTCAAAGGAGGTACCGGCTGACGCCCAAACATGAGCATCGCAGGACTATATCCGGTGGCGCTATGAGTTGCCGAGTTCAACGCGAAGTTGAACTCTGACAGGTGTTCATCCCAGCTCTTATGATCACGGCTTACATAAGACGTGATCATGGTTTTGAGTGTCCTGTTTACTCGCTCTGTGGGATTCGCTTGGGGATGGTATACGGGAGTTAAGGCGCGCTGGATGCCGTTCATCTGGAGGTATGAATCAACCTCCTGATTCTTAAACTCGGTTCCATTATCCGATAAGAATACTTCTGGCGCGCCAAACCTAGTGACAATCCTCTCGTGTAATTCCCTTGCGATTGTCTTCCCATTGGCTTTGCGTATTGCAATGTACTCTACCCAGCGAGTAAACAAGTCTACAAAGACTAGGATATACTCAAAACCTCGAGAGCTTTTGGGAAATGGACCAGTGATATCACCGGCCACCACCTGCCAGGGTCGTGATACTTGTCTACGACCCATCAGCCCGCAAGGTGCTCTTTGTTCCACCTTGCACTGCTGACATACCGGGCAACTCTTTACGTACTCCCTGACCTGATCATACATTTTAGGCCAGTAGTACAAGCGCCTAGCCCTGGAGAACGTACGCTCTCGTCCTTGATGTCCTGCTGTAGGAGCATCATGGACTTCTTGGAGCACCTGGTACCTTTTCTCCCTAGGTACCGCAAGCTTCCACGCTTCATCGTTGTCGATGGACCCTTCACCATCCTCATCAGGCTGATAATGATACAGTCTCCCTCCCACCACCTTCCAAGTGGGGTAAGAGTGTGGGTCCTGGCATACTTCCTGGTATTGTTGCAAATACCAGGCGTCAGTGGTCTCCGGCCGACTATTTATAGCACTCACTTCAATCCCCTCCTCCTCATAGGCCCTAGATAAAGCGTCTGGCACCACATTGAGATCCCCCCTTCGATATTCGATATCGAAGACATTACCTTGCAATGCTAGCGCCCATCGCGCTAATCTTCCAGTGGGGTTTCTCATATTGTGGAGCCATTTCAGGCAACTATGATCGGTGACGACCCTGAAGTGATGCCCTTCAATATACGGCCGGAACTTTCCAATGGCCCATACTACTGCCAAGCACTCTTTCTCGGAGACCGTATAATTTCTCTCAGCACTGCTGAGTGATCGGCTGGCGTATTCTATTACGCGCTCCACTCCATCGGCATCCTGTGCGAGAACTGCCCCGATCCCACTGTCACTAGCATCAGTTTGCAGTACAAACTGACCGTTCGGATCGGGCGATTGCAATATTGGGGCGGAAGTCATCGCCTCCTGCAATCTCGTGAAAGCTCGCTCTTGCTCCTCCTCCCAAGAGAAACGTACATTCTTCTTTGTCAGGCGGTTTATAGGTTCAGCGATCATGGCAAAGTCGGGTATAAAACGCCTATACCACGAGGTCATTCCCA